TGTATTATATTTGTCCATATGAGAGACACTGAAGTATTATTAGGTTTTAGAGAGACACTAAAGTATTATTATGTTTCAGAGAGACACTGAAGTATCATTATGTTTTAGAGTCCCATTGGTATGTTTCAGTATATTTGCAGGACATGTATTAACAGAAATTATGTAAATGGTGGGTGTTGGTGTTCTCCTAGGATAGCCCTAGCATAAGCCACTGATAGGGCTCTTGATTAAACTCCAAGGAACCAAGTAGCTATCTGGCATCTAACCAACCATCCCTGTTCAGTGCCTGATGACAGAATTAGTGTGTGTTGACTGCATTAAATGAGACTGCAAAACCTAATTGCAATTGTAAACCTCTTGTGGTTGGTTATGGTCTGCTGTAACTTTTACTTGAGCTTTATCCAACTATTATAACTATTTAAATATGTCAAAAATGTGACTGCCAGTGAGCGTTGCCTTTTACGCTCTAGTCCAACTTAGAGAGGTTAAGGCAATCTGTGATATTAATGCAATTAAATACCTGGTATCTCGTGACTTATTATTTAATAGAGAGGAATAGCAATATATATATATATTTTGTACATTTTAAATGTAATTCAAAGTGAATATTTGAAATTGTTGTTACGCTTTTTTTTTTTCTTGATTTCTTTTTATAGTAATGTGAAATGTTTTTTTTCCATTCAGAATGGATTAATAAATATGCGGGACCATTACTAGTTAGCACGTTTTATACTGATAGTATTTTACGCAAAATATTTGTTTAATCCAATGTCGTCAGAAAAATACTGTGCTCATTTTAGATTTTTTTGTGAAATGTCTCTGCACATAGATGGCTCTGCTAGTGCTTTGCCACAAAGGAGTCAATTAGTAGACCTTGTGACCTTACTTTATTTCACCTTTCCTTGAATTTGTGGAAAAAAAAAACTTTTTTACTAATGCTATCACTATTGATGGTGTTATTTTTTATTATAGACATTATAATTACTATAATAACATTAGTAACAACAATATAAGTATTAGCAGATTTTATACATTTGTGTGTAAAAGACTTTGAAGATTGAAAAGTTATATATATTTTTACTGATATCATAAGTAAACATTATTGTAAATAGTGTGTACTGTTTGGCTTAACATTTGTGTCCAAATGTTAATGATGCTACAAGTTTCTACTGTTTGCAATTATTTCTTCATAATATGAAACAAATAAAGTTTTTGATAACTTTTGATTGTTATTTTCAAACCTGAAAACATCTTTGGCTGTATCATATGGAAAATGATAAATGGAACTTAAAATAATAATAAAATAAATAATAAAATCCAAAAACTAAAACTTGTAATAAACATTTAGCTGAATAAAAATTATATCTGAGCTTACTTTAAATATTTTCTCTTATCATCATCATGTGGTTAAGAGATTCCAGTTTGTGCTATTTATTTCTCAGTGGAGCCTGAGACACTATGAAAAATATTTCAGTTTAATTACAGCCCAAAATTCAGACTACTGATTTAGATTTTAACACAAATAAGATGTACTCGGAGAAACCTCATGCAGTGATCTCTAGACCCAAAATTGTATAAAAAATATTGAATAGCTGCTATGCACATGTAAAATCCAGTCAAACTGCTTTTGCCTTTGAGTGTTTTCTCTGACTGAAAATACAAAGGGACAGGATGTAAATTATCTGTGAAATTCATACTGGAGAGCTGGACTGTATATATTGAGACCATACCTGTCTGCTTTGTATAGTATGCTTGTACTTAGAACATTAGTTTTAATACTAAGTGGTAAAACATATGTATCTGTACTTATATCTAATACCACAAAATTTCAGCTTTCTGTAATCAGTTGATCCAAAAAAAGATAAGAGAAAATATAAAAAAAAGTAAGGTAAAGCAATTAGTAAACTGGAAGGAAACATTAACCTGCTTAAAATGATAAAGTTAAACAAGAATATTAAAGTTTGTTGTTAAGGATCAGTTGCAAAACAATCAGGAAAGGATGAGGAAAGAGATTGAAGGAATTATGTAACTATTTCAAGAGAAACTTATCTTATGGTTAGCAGCAATACGAGATCCTTTATTTACAAAGATTGTTTTTTTTTTGTTATACTATTTACTGCTTGCCTGAAACCATATCAAAGCTGATCTTGTGAAGTAAAATGTCCAAAAGGTAGCCCAGCCTTGAATCCAAGCTATTTAATCAGATGAAGCTGTGTGTGTGTGTATGTGTATGTGTGTGTGTGTGTGTGTCTGTGTATGTGTATGTGAGTGTGTGAGTGTGTGAGTGTGAGTGTGTGTGTGTGGCTGCACTTGGGAGCGGGGTGTTGCTCCTACAGTCCAAGGATCGCTAAAAGTCACGTATTTAGCATTTGCCAACCGGTGATTCACGAGGGCATGTTACAGCAATACATATCGCTTGAGGATATGTTTATGATGTGTGAAGAGACGTATGTGACAAACATGTAAAATTATATGTAATATGTAAATTATAGTAATATTA